AGAAAAATGGCCTTGGTCCGTTTAAATGTAACATAAAAGCTGCACGGAGGAGAAAAAAGTTGAACCAGATGGTAGACAGATGAGTGCTGCATCAAACCTTCTTGATGTGTCCAGTTCAGAAACATGTAAAAAGTTTGAGTGAAGAAAATTGGCAGATTTTATCCAGAACCTCTGTTGGTTTTAATCAAAAGAAGACAAATTAAAAAAATGAATGAAACCATGAACTGATTAAATGCTGACATCTTTAAGAATAAAATGTACTTTACTTTTGTGTCTACATCTAAGATACTTCGACATAAAGTAAAAGAAAATAAAAATAGACGCCTACAAGCAGAAGCGGAGTGGAGTTTTCTGCTCAGACATTAAAGTGATTTCATCAATTCTACATGTCGTTTTCCTATCACGTCATTTCTTCCTCTTCCTCTCCTCCTCCAGTCTGTGATCAAAGCTATGAAGTGCTTGAAAACAAAACACGTGCAGACCATTTCTCTATTTAGACTGAAGTTTTCAAAAATCTAGATACTTTTTTTGAAAACTTCAGAGGGATTTCCTGAATGATCCACACACAGGCCTGATGTGATCTCTAACAGAGAGGCTTTCTCTGAAGAATGAAGATTTTTCTTCTCTAAATCCTCGAAGCACCGAGAGAGAAAAAACATATTGATCTCAGAAAATTGTTCTTTTATTGAAAAGATCCTCGTTGATAAATGACGCTGCTGCAGGCTGCCATCATTACTGCAGACAGGAAACGTTAAATGTCCTGCAGACTTTTAAAGCAAGGCGTTAACAGCAGCAGGTTCTGAGGTTCTATTCCCACTGCGAGTATGAAGGGAATCAATCACAGCAGGTATAACAGAAATAATGCTGGAATCCCAAACGGTTCTCATCCCAGCTCGTCACATACGGAGGCTTAGTTAAAACAACTTAGTGTTTATTTTTAATGCCCTCGGTGCCTTTTAGTGTAGGACTCCGTGGTTAAGTTGGCAAGAATAAATATGCAACGTCTGGTTACACCTTTAAAGTAAAATTAGTGGTTAATGTTGTGAAACGCTGCAATTTGGTTGGGTTTAGGTGACAAAACTACTTGGTTTGGTTTAGGAAAAGATCTTGGTTTGGGTCCAAATAACTACACTTGACTTAAAGGTCCAGTGTGAAATATTTCTATTAGGATCTATTGACAGAAATGCAATATAAGCTCCGTAACTATATTTTCAGTGGTTTATAAAGACCTTACATAATGAACTGTTTTTATGACCTTAGAATGAGTCATTTCTATCTACATACGCCGTGGGTCCTCTTACATGGACGTCGGCACGTTGCGCCGCCATATTTCTACAGTAGCCCAAATGGACAAACTGCTCTGCAGAGCGCGTTTCATCACTACATACTTACGAAGAACAAGTAACGTCAGTAGTAGTAGTAGTACACCTTCTTTTAGCATTCAAAAATAAGGCTAAAGGACTTCTGGGTGTGTTAAACTGATGCCAAGGGGTCTTGACCATGCGTCTGGCAACTTGTGAGTTAGAACGGGTTGAAATTACATTAAATAAATTAATTGATTAAAAGGGGATGTTTTTTTCCCAGTGGAGGTGGATGTTTGTTCACAACATTGAAAGATGACATTTCTTCTCAAGAAAGTTCTTTCAATAAAATCCTGTAAAACACTGGTGGAAACCTCCAGAGTTGATTGTCTCAGAAACTGGACACATAAAACTAAAACTATATGCAAAACTACGTAGATGTCACTAGGTGTGAAAATATGTTTTTTGTAATTTGGGTGAAATGAATGTTTAAGGGAATCTAAACTTTAAAGGATCATTGATTGAATTATGTTGGATTTTTCAAATAAAAACAAATTTATTGTGGCGGTTTTTGTCAGTGATGTATTAATGTCCACAGTATGTTGCAGTCTAAACAATGTAGGTCAAAGGTTAACAGACTGGTGGGAACAATAGAGTGAACCAATCAGAGCGTTTGACTGATGACAGGTGCCACAGAGATTATTGATGCAACACTGTCTCATTGTTTCCACTGTTTGTGTGATTAATCTTTATTTTCATTTCTAATTATTGTGTTGGGGTCTGTAAATGTTGCTCAACAGACAGAACTACGAGTACAATTCATACTAGTAAAAGTTGTACACCTCATGTGCTCATTTGCAGCTGAAAATGGATTTTCCCTTCACTTAAACCCAAGGGCATCCCTTTGTGTTGAAAAGTGGTGGGGACATAAGGGCTCAGTTTAGGGGTGTGACGATACACTTGGCTCACAAGATGTGATGATGCACAATATTGGGGTTACAAAAGATGATGAGATAATAGCAATAACAGCATTTTGAAAACAATATTCAAAGCTGAGACATTTGAGTCTGGGGATCCTCCCCCAGAAAAATTGACACATTAAACACTTTCCTGCATTCTGGAGACATATAGAAATATAATGCAATAATCAGTAACTTGCTTTTTGGCTTAAGTTACTTTTTTTGGCACTGCACATTTATTTTTTCTCAATCTTGTACATTTTGCTCTGTAACTGAAAAAGCATCTGTCCTCTCCAGTGGGCACCAAAGGGTGTATTGTTAGGATTCGTGTGTGGTGAAGCAGGTTGGAGGACCCTAACACAGGACGCAAGGCAGAGAAGGTACGGTTCAAAAGGTGATTTATTTAACAAACAAAAAGCGAGCACACTTACATAGTGAGTGGCTGAGTCCAGAAAAAGCCAAATGAGAAACGAAACAAAAATCCAACACAGGTAATCCAGAACACAAAGAGCAGAAAATAACAAGATGAAACATTGGACAAGACTGGGAGACTGAAGCCATAACTGACAGGGAGGTAACACCAACAATGACCAGACAAAGACTGAAGAGAAACACCAAACATATATACACCAGGGACTAACGAGCAGGGCGGGAGTAACACAGGTGATAGACATGAGGCTAAGGAGACACAGGCAGGCAGAGAGAGAGCAGGGGAAAACAGAGAGACTGACATGCAAAGGGGTAACAGACACAACACAGGTTACTGAACACTAAACACAGGCCATATCACAAGATGTAACAGATTAGAAATAAACTAACTAACTCAGACACGACCAGACTAAACTAAAATAATGCAGACAAGGAACCTGAAGTAAATACCAAAACATGAACCAAGGCACAGGACTGGGAACTAAGACAAAGAACTAAAACGCAGGACCAAGAGCTAAGGTAAAAGACAAGACATAAACTACTAAGGACGAGGAACGAGAGAAACAGGCAAATAGAAGGACACATGAAACAATGGCAAAAAAACTACAACTCATAACATGTATTCTGCTTAGATTAGCCTTATTTTGTATGTTTTATTAAAAAAAATAAGAATTTGCACATGAATAGCTTTATCTGTATTTATACCGGTTGCTCTTAGTAAATGTTTTTTAAACCTATATTCTTCACTTTTTATAGTGTTGATGCATGATGTCCACTGCAATAGACACATTTCAAAATAAAAAATATATATAAAAATATAGGCAGCACAATTTTTACTTGTTTAAAAGTTTTTAAAAAACAATACATTAAATCTGCAAGCAGCGTTGGGCGGGCCCTCACACGTGTAGCACGCTGAGGTGCAAGGCGGCTGCGTTGTAGATTCTGGAGCTCTGCCTGCGTGACTGAATTTGCAACGGGCTTTGCACGCTGCACAAAGGTGTTATTAATCACTTCCTGTGTCCCCTTTGTGGCACTACATAGCACTTGGCGATACGACTATAACTGAATAATGGCGTGTAGATGTGTTCGGGGCGTGACTGCAGGCAAAGTTTGGTGGAGATGTGAGCATGTACACTGAAGTTACAACAACTTCCTGTTTTATGGCGAATCATTGATTTTGGACGCCACGGGCACGCCGTTACATAAAAACTCACCGTTTGTACAACTTTTAATCGTCAATGGTTTTAGACTGCACAGTCAACATGTACAGTCAAGTTACAACAACGTCCTGTGTCATGGCGAAGCATGGAAATTTGCGGCAACACCAGGCTGTTAACTGCAAACTCACAAGTTTGACAACATGGCCTCATCGAGGTGTTAAGGTTTTTCTGGGACAGTTTTGAAGTTGATGTGTGCAACCTGCAAGGAGTAGTGTTACAGGGTAAAATGTATCATTTCTTGTTGCCAGCAGGTGGCGCTATGACTTTGAGTGAGTATTGGCATGTAGGCCTAGCTGTGTTCAGGGTCATACATGTAAAGTTTAGTATAGATGTGAGCATGTAGACTGAAGTTATAACAACTTCCTGTTTCATGGCGAATCATCGATTTTTGACAGCATGCCACGGGCAAACTGGTCGACTGGTAATAACCGTTTGTACAACTTTTAATCTTAAATGGGTTTAGACTGCACAGCGAAAATTTCAAGTCGATTGGACTAAATCCCTAAGAGGAGTTTGTTAAAGTACAAAGTGTGTAAATCGCCAAAAATGAGCAAAATTGCCCAAATGGCCCACTTCCTATTGGGTTTAGGCAATGGCTTCAGGCGGCTTTTTTGATACAGGTACCACAGAAATTTCGTTCACACAGGTGAAACTTAGTCCAGGGGGCTGCTCTGTAGGGGGCGCGACAGAGCCATTTTGCCACGACCATGCGCGAAACCCATAAAATACGAAATTTTTCCATGAAAGGGTTAACAGTTACTGTAACACACTAAGTCACTTTTTTCTTCCTTCATTTCATACAAAGCTGCATTAACACCACCCTAAACACACATCTTTATTTATTTCTACCAAAAGTTTTGTTACAAATTACGTTTTCCTGTTGCATTAGAAGAAATAAATATGACATGACTTATAGAATATTTAGTAGCCACTGAAAGATCTACTACTGACAGATGATCAGATGATGATGTGAAATGGTTTAGTTACCTACAAACCCTTTCTGCTTGTCACCTCCAAACCTCCTTCCCTCTCTCTCTCTCCATCCCCTGACTCAGCATGTCAGTGGGCGGGTGCTACAGCCTGTCAGTCAGACCTGTTCCTGCTACGTGATTGGTCTCTCTCCCCTTGGCTGGGCGGTACCGGCGGGGCCACATGGAGTCTGCTGGGTGTCTCTGTGCCCGTCAGTCTGAGCCATCCTCCGGTGGAGACGCTCCTCACACTGGAGCAACTTGGCGCATCATCAACATCATCAGTACGAGAAAAAAAACTGACCTGAGAGAAATATAGTATGAATATTATGTTTTTCTATCACTTCTACTGATGTTGCTTCATTTTTACCAGGAGCAGTGCTATTCTTTTACTTGTGCGTAAAAGTATTTTGATTAATTAATAATTAACTGGAGAGTAACATCGGCTTCGTGCTGTTACTGATATTTTCCCTTTCAGCACTCACTGGACTTTCAGCTCTTCCCTTCATTCACCAAAACGGATTTAGCAGTTAATTAGAGACGCACGCAAATCACCGTGGTGTCCTGCGTCAAGGAACTTTGCTCTGTCTCGCGAAGAAAATATTTATTTTAAAATCCAGTGAAAGTGGATCGCTGAGAGACCCGGTCCGCTCTTGTGGACACTTTGCTGTCTTCTCCAACTGCAACGGGTTTGATGGAAACATGACCAAAGCTGTAACCGGAGCGGTTCTTCTGCACAGCCTCCTCTACCACCTGCTCCCGCTGCTGCTGCTTCATGCCTCACCGGTGTGTCTGTCCGCGCAGCTCGGGCATCCAGCGCGCTACTTCGGACAAATAGCTGAGAACTCCCCGGCTGGGACACCGGTGGACGGGGTGGTACTGCAGCTCGGAGCCAGCGGCTGCCCCGGCGCGGACCTGAATGCCAGTCTGATGGGGAATTACGCGTCGGATTTTAGGCTCGTTCGCTACCGCGGGCACCGGGATCACCGGGGGCATCTAGGTTTGGTCTCCGCCAAAGCTCTGGACCGGGAGTTTATAGCCATGTACCAGTTGACGGTGGAGCTGCCGCAGTGTTTGAGAAGACCTGCCGCCGTCCAGGTCGAAGTGTCGGACAAGAACGACAACATCCCCCAGTTCACCAGCGGGAACCAGACGGTCGAAGTGCACGAACTGACTCCGCTCGGTACCGACCTGGTCCGCTTTGACGCGAAGGACGGCGACGCGGAGAGGAACGGACGGGTCACTTTTTACGCCTCACCGGAGTCTCACCTGCTCCACGTGGTTCCACAAACCGGGCAGGTGAGGCTGGTCGGGTCCCTCCTTGGTGTCAGCCAGGTGACTCTGCGCATTTACGTGAATGACGGCGGAGATGTGTCGCTGACAGGTGAGCCGGTTTTCCTGCGCATCAACGTCCGCCGCTCCAGCAGAGCGCGGCGGAGGCCCCGGGCTCTGTCCGAAGAGCTGACCTACACCGTGACCGTCCCGGACCACGTCAGAGTCGGGGACCTAGTGTTTACGGTGCCGGACCAGAGGTTCGAGCAGCGGAGGTTCGAGGTGATCTCCGAGGCCGACTCGCCGGTCCAGATCGAGCGGGACTCGGGGCGCCTGTACCTGGCGCGCAGCCTGGGAGAGCCCGCCGAGGTGGTGGTGAAGATCCAGAACCTCCGAGGTAAGAAGCTTTATTTTCTTTTCGTGCGTAAAAGCGCAAAGGAGACGGTGTTTACCTGCAGAGGTGGGATGATGGCCGGAGACTCTGGTGACGCTGCTGCATCAACCAGGTTTTACACGTTGTTGGATCACTGATGAAGCTGGAAAATACAGCTCAGTTTGGTAATCTTTAATTAGCCTGTTTAAAGCAACGTTAGATAAAGTTTAATCCTGCAGTAGACTCGTGTTTCTGTATTTGGAAGTGATTTCTTTTTATCTTCGATTTTTAAACATATCCGAGATGCATCAAGTCATCTGTATCCTATCAGAAGACAGGAGGTGTTAGCAACTCTTAGAATGCCCCATCATCTTCTGTCATCTTAAATGTCCCTGTCTGCTTTAAAACTAGACAGCCAGCAGAATGTTTTACATCCTGGTTTGGTATCATTGATGGACTTTAAGGTTTAAATGGGAAGAAAGACAGATTGTGCAGCTGAACCAGAAGGAAATGTGTTGAAAACTACTTGGGTTATATCCTCTGGCTCTGATATTTTTTTACATAATTTGGTCAGGGCCTTCACCAAGAATTTGTAAGTGGTGGGGTCAAAGGTCAGTAGTAGCTAATGTAAAGTATGACTTGTAGTGAACAGACTACAACATGCAGAAACAGTGGGAAGCCCTTTAGGGCAGGTATTGCTTGTCTACAGAGTCTGTCCAACAGCAGCAGTTTATTGCAGAAGTTTAATTTAAGGACTGAGTGCCTTTAGTCATTGGGGTGTGTGCATGGGTCTGTGTTGGCTTGTTTCCAGCAGAGTTTGAATCGACCTCAACTGTCTCCGCTACTTTCACTCTTTCATTCATTCCATGCAACACTCCTCACATCATTGCCAAGTGTGTGTGTGTGTTTGTATGTGAGAGAGAGAGAAAGAGAGAGAGAGAGACTGTGTGAGTGCCTGTGTTGCCACCAGGTTGTTAAAGGACAAACAGAACTGATAGTTTAGTGTGTGAGGTGAGCAGAGTAAACACACCTCAACTCTCTTCACACACAGATTTGACTTTCTATATACCCTTAAAACACACACACACACACACACACACACACACACACACCACACACACTAAAATGGAGTGTTTGCTTTGCTGCTGTGATGCTGCAGTTTCCTGTTTGGATTAATAAAGTCCACTCAACAAGTCCTCATGCTTAAACCACAAAATAGATTGTTTGTCAGTGCCTGCCAAAACAATCACAACAATCCAGCCACAGTTTTTGTTTTCAAAAACAATCAAAATCTTCAGTATTTCCCCGTATTTAGTAGGGGTGGGGGGAAAAAATCGATACAGCATAGTATCGTGAAATTTGCCATGGCAATACTGTATTGATACACGGACACCAAGTATTGATATTGCAGATGGGAGAACTTTTTGGTACTAGAATAATAAAATCTATTGCTGTTTTAGTCCACTAGAAAACCTAACAGGACCATCTAGGGGACTGAAAAAGTGATATGAACTAACAGGGAAATGTATCTTTTTAGATAAACAGATGTTGACAAAGCTTGACTTTAGGAAAGCTCTGCTGGCAGGCTTAGTTCAGGGCAGACCACCATGTGTTTTAGTTGAAATTTTGGTGAACCAACCCTTTCACACTTGACTAAACTCACCTAAACACAGTGTTTAAAATACTCATCTGTCAGTGGGAACCTACCCACCCTAAAAAGTTTGGTACTGACTGAACCGGACGGGCCGCCTGGAGATTCAGGTCAACAAACTCTTAGAAAGATTTACAATCAGTATTGAACCAGGCCGCTATGAAACTGTTTTAAACTGTGAATCAGTGTCACTGCAGCTCAGAGTTGTTTGACAGGATGAAACGACATCCAGATGCCGTAGTGCTCGACCTCCCTGCACCCCCTTACCACCCCCACACCCAAAGTAAATGTTTGACCAAGAGCCTAAACTCCTTCACATCTGGACGGCGGCAGTGGTGGCTTGGTGTTCTGGTCAGATCTGGCTAATCAGTCCATCCAAACTGCATCTCTGCTGTTTATTTGTAGAAATTAGTTGTGTTTGCTCACCTGGAGCCCTCCCAGGTCTGAAACACATGGACCGAAACAGGCCCAGAGCCTCCAACAGGAAGCTTTGTTTGTGTTAAAACAGACTGCAGAGCTCTGTTTTGTGGCTGTGGAGTGTGGGTGTGTGATTTTGGTCGACACGGCGGTGATCGTGCTGTAAACTGGCCGGCTGATTGAGGCGACCTGTCTTTCGTCAGCGGTGGTTGTGATTTTGATCTGTGGCAACGAGGTCTGAGCAGCAGCGGTTTCAGAGATTCTCTCTGTAGTTTAAACCGTCCGAGCAGAGTCGCTCCACTAAATCTGAGACTCAACATCAGTTCACGTCTGAACCTGCTGAGTTGCCGTGTCTCTGTCAGATCTTCCTCCACTCACTTTGATTGAGTCTCATCCCCAGAACATTCACTTCTCTCTTATTAATATTCAGAATGTTTCCCTCTGTGAAAACTAGTGCAGGAACTTGCTGCATGATGGTCGCTGTGATGAAAAGTGAAATAAATAGTTAAAGCTGATTTGAGTCAGATTTTTTATATATATATATATATATATATATATATATATATATATATATATATATATATATATATATATATATATATATATATATATATATATATATATATATATATATATATATATATATATATATATATATATATATATATATATATATATATAATATAATTAAAACCTTTTTACCTGCATGTCTCTGCTATTATTAACTATTAAACATTAAACTATGAACCGTTAAACCCGGGGTGACAATGGCGCAATGGATAAGACACATGCCTTTGGTGTGAGAGACCCGGGTTCAATCCACCACTGTGTCCCTGAGCAAGACACTTAACCCCTAGTTGCTCCAGAGGTGTGTGACCTCTGACATATATAGCAATTGTAAGTTGCTTTGGATAAAAGTGTCAGATAAATGTAAACACATGCAAAATAAAAATACTTGAATCACTAAAGAAACTAATGTAAAGACACAGCCTCACCTGGACCACACTTATACTTCACAATCATTTAATAAAATAAATGCTGTTGAAAGAATTTTAGAAAAGGCGTTTACTTTACATACAGTACATTTACATACTGTAAAACTTAAATTTCCCAAATTTCCTGGCCTGGTGTGGGAACACAAATTCTGACAAATAAACTCTATTAAACGCTTGGTCTGGTTTTTATAGAAGTTCTTTTGATGTATAAAACCTCTTAAACCCGGCAGGGTCGCCTGCTTTAGCTGCTTCTAGGCCGCATAGATCATTAATACAAATATTAATGTTTAAACGTATAATCAATATGTCAAAATGGACATGCTGAACATCGTTAGATTGGTTAGATTCTCCAAAATTCAATCATTCAATTTACAGAAACAATGAGCCCCAAAGTCTAATTCTTATAGATTTACTTGTGTAACCGGTGTAGGTACAAGAGATGGGGGGGGGGAAAGTGCTGACTCCTGTTACCTTTGAAGCGTTCGTTAAGTCTGAATGTGTCAGCTCCTTGATTATTTATATTCCTTTAGTCTGTAAGGGTCCACCCATCAAAAGAATCAAAACAGCTTTTCATAAAAATGAATCCGTGTTGTGAATCCTGTCATGTGAAGTCTATCACTCTCTGTGTGCTAACTTCTCTCACCCTGCAACATGTTGTTCTCGTTACATTGCTGCCTTCAAAATAAAAGTGCTTAAGCCGTCTGTTGGAGCTAGATCAAATGAATGACTTATATTTGATATTATTTGATCATTTTTATACTGTTTGAAATGAATAAACTGTTTCATAGTAGCCTATTTCAGTTTTGTGCAAGAGGAATTAAAGGTCTGTCCCAAATACAGGCAGGGTCAATTCAGTGATTTTAGCAAATAAAAGTCCGGGCTATTAATCCCAGGCAACACATTCTCACATATAGACGCTTGGTCAAGACCCCTTTGCTTTGCTCTTTAATGCACTGCGTACCCTTTTACATCCTTTTTGCACATGTAGGCTCCGCGTCAAGTTAGCAAGAATAAATGTGCAACCTCTGGTTAGACTTCCAAAATAAAACTAGTTTTATAGTTAACGTTTTGGTTAGATTTAGGAAAAGATCATGGTTTGGGTTAAAATAACTACGCCACTTAGTTAAGTAATGTTACATGTGTAGCTTTACTTAAAACAGTCAATGTTGACTTATTTTTTAACACGGGAAACGAACACCGGCCTCCTGGGTGAAAGTCTGGTTCCTTGCCTACCCCTCCACCCCAACCACCTCCTTACTCAGAAGTTTCTGTTATTTAGATATTAAACTTACTTTAAGCTTTCTAAAAATGACACCAAAGGGCTTCTGAGTGCGTTACAACCTGACCCCAGTGGGTATTGACCATGTGTCCATATGTGACGACTTGGTTGCCCCAGGTGTCACAGGATACTCAGAGACTGAGCAGTAGTTAGTCTATAAAAAGGAAAACACACACAGCTTCCCCCACACAGACCTCACCTCCTGTATATAATAAATTGTCCACATGTGACCCTCACACTTCACACAGACATCTACATCATCTACAAACACACAGCTCTCTCTGTCTCTCTGGCAGGTCATCCATCACTGCAGCGACTCTACTGACTCTGTTTTGTCCTCGGCATTCAGTAAATGTACAGGAAGCACATACACACACACTCGTTTGTCCTCTTGTTTGAATGTGCAGGTCGTGACTTCAGGCAGCTTTCCTCGTGTGTCTTTGCGCCCCAGTTTCCTCTTATTTAAACTCTGCGTGTTTGAGTTGATTGGTTTGAACTACAGATAATGAGCAATAGTCCTGAGACACAGAAACAAACATTTTGACAGATTGATGGAGTGAAAATGCAATGAGGCATCTTAAGTCAGTCTATGCAGAAGGAGAGCTGGTGAACATGGTGCTGCGTTTTCACCACAGGTTTTTATAGACAAGCGTTTACAGATTACTGTCAGAAAGGTTCTTTC